ATACGGAACAGATGAATCTAATATATATAGGCCGTCGTATACATTGATATTCTATATTATCTCAATCACACTAACATTGGGGCTATTCGAAACTTATAGAACAGAGCCTCTAAAATCTATGAGAGGCTCTCATCTAATAGTCAAATAACTAAAATTGAAGTTATTTTTCGGGTTGAATTGTTTGGATTTATTGTGGAAGACTGTTTTAACTATCTCTTCATATAATTCTTTCTTGATTTTATTAATAAGAAATTAAATAATTTTTTATGCTTTATTAGATTCAACCATTTCTCTCATTTAATTAACCTAGAATTTCATATATTTCATTAGTCAATTTTTAAGGTTACCAAACAAACAAGCAAACAGACTATACAATCCTCTTTTTTAAAGTACTCCATTATTCATGATTGATGCAAGGACACCATTTCATTTGATAAAATTGAAAGGGAACGGTTGAAACTTGAAAGTGATCTTATTTGAATGCACATCATCATCATGAAAAATCAGCAAACCCTAAGAAGGCAAAAGAACAAGTTAGTCCTCACTTGCTGAGTCTTATGAGATTCCACCTTATATATCAGTTTTTTTAATGGAGTACGGAGTACCCCATTATCATCCTCATTCATGCAGTTAATCACTAGTACAATGGGTAATAGCCTAGTAGGTAGATGCTTCATACTACCTCCGTTCTCTTTTAATTAGTTGCAACGTAGGACTTTTTTCACTATTCACAGATTCTATTTTCATTACATTTTATTTATTAATGTATTATGAACTAAATTTTTAAAAAATATTACTCCCTCCGGTTTTTAATAAACTTCACACTTTCCTTTTTGGGACGGTCTAAAATAAACTTCACACTTCCTTATTTCCTTTTTTGGCAAAGAAATCTATATCAAAACAGTGCCAAACAGTGTCAAACAGTGTCTCAACAGTGCCAAACAGTGTCTCTACAGTGCCAAACAGTGTCAAACAGTGCCTCAACAGTGTACTCTACAGTAAAGTCAAATTTCTTTCCTTATTTTGTGTGAAGTCAAACTGTGAAGATTAAAAAAAACCGGAGGTAGTATTAAATTCCTCTCATAATAAAATTTCAAAATCTGATTTTTTTAATTTTTATACTAATAAGGAATGAAAGATATTAACGGTCAAACTTGTGCGCTGGCAAGTGAGAAAAGTGGACTGTTGCAATTAAAAAACAACGGATGAAGTATATTATTGCGGGTCTATAGTCTACAAATGGCTATTATACACACGTAAAGGTTGTGTTCAAACCGGTTTTGCCATTTTACCATATACAGCCCGTTTAGTAACACTAAAATCGGCTGATTCTGCTGAAATTTATGAAGTTCTAGTTGAAGTGGTTGTATTGAATGATTTTGTTGATTTATGAAAAAAATTATATTTAAATAGGCGGCAGTCAAGCCTTAACTGCGCGCTGGTCAGCACAGGTGACTGAAGCTATAGGGGTCCGAGAGGTGCTGACCTGGGTAAAAGATCAAGGATAGGACAATGTAACGTAACAGTGAAAACAAACTTTCTCATGGTTGCTTCAAGTTTATTGGATCCAAACGGAGAGTCTTATTTTGATGTAATGATAGAAGATATTAGACATATTCTTCCACTTGAAGCTAATATTGAAGTCACTTATTGTAAACGGTGAGCAAATAGGGTAGCTCACACATTAGCTAGGTCTGCTCTTTTGAATCCGGACGGAGGTTCTAATTTTCTTTCTCCTCCTAGTTGTATTATCAACCATTTAACAAACGCCTATTTGAATCAATAAAGTATGGCGTTTTCCTTTCAAAAAAAAACAAGTTCAAGAGTTGGACTGTCTCTTTTACAAAGTTACAATTGTAGGGTCACACGAAAAAATATTTACATGTCCTATTATTGTTATTCAAAGTTATTATATTAACTTATAGTTGTAAAAAGGTTGAATTTGACATAATATTGACAAATTATAATTCAATTAATTTTCTTAATATTTCTTATTACAAAAGCTACTAATAAATTGAGTTAATAAAGAACTAATTGTATATATTAAGGCTGTTTGCAAAGAAAATACCCAGTATAAATGAGTTTTAATTTATTTTAAACCCAAATGAGTATAATGTTTAAACGATGAGAAAAAAGTAATATGCTATACTTAAATGTAAATTATTGAAATGGGTTTTGTACTATACTAAAATAAGTATAATGTCTAAAATAATTTTGTGCATGAGTGGAAAATCATATAATGAGCATAATAAATTTGTAAGTCAAGGATGATGAATTATATACTATTTTTTTAATAAAGTTATTATATTTATCATTGCAAAATCTAATTATAGATTAGTAATTGAGTCTGTTTATATTAAGTTGTTTGTAATGAATATATGATAGATGTGTAAGCCTTTAATGCATTGTCGGCGTCAATGCGTTGCCAGCTTTATAATTTCCGCCAAAATCATTAGTTACATAACTAAATTTGAAGTGAGTAAGTTACATACATGATAAACATGGGCACAACTAATAATTTAATGTACCTTACGAAAGTAAGGATGTTTTTACTTGGACTATAATTTGCTGGTCTGGTCTAATCTAGTCTGGTCTGGTCTGATATGATAATGTCTGGTTTCTTTGTATTTTTATAACCAGGGGCGTCTTTAGCATTTTGGAGGCCCTAGACAAAAAAAAATTCGATGCAAAAATCATATTGAAAAGAGAAATAGAATACAAAACACCAAATGAAAAAAAACACATTCACAACGATAAGTTTTTAAATGAAATGATGCAAACATATGCAAAATACACCACAAACTTGTATTGGTAACACCCTATTGTACAACCAAATATTGTACGGCCCTATTGCTATATGAAAGGGTTTGTACACGCTAGTTCAAATTTCCGCTTTCCCGTCATGCTAAACAAAAGACGCCTTGATGACAATATTTATAGATAATACAAAGTAACAAAATCACAAACAAATCAATTAATTGAAATACTTGATACTATCTACAATACTAACTAGGAGCTGAACAAAAATAGTAAAAAAAAAAAAATTGATTTCAAATCCCAAATAACTAGGATCTGCCATAGCGCCAGATCAATTGGCCGAAACTTCAAATAAAAAAGAAACAAAATAATTCAACTCTATTTACTATGGAGTAGTAGTCAATTATTCTTATTCTTTAGCCAATCTGCCACAGGCCCACAATTGACGGTTTCATATACAGAGTAATACTCATAACTCGTTAACCCCTTTAGTCCTTTGTCTTTAGACTTCGAATTTTTAGACTGCATATATCTCAAAAATCAGAGATTCAGAGAGGAAGAGAGGCTCACAGGCCGGACACTTCACACTCGGACAGACCACAGATTCACAAACGGACGCTTGCCTCCTCACCAGATTTCTGGAAACGCAGGCAGCAGGGCGGCGGGTGCCTCCTCACCTGATTTCCGTTTTTTAATCTTCGCCTAGTCACGTTCTTCCGTTGTTTCACATATCAGCCTAGCACTTCCAGAATAGTGGGCCGTGAATCAGTCTTCTGAATTAATTAATTAATTACGGAGTAGAATTATTATTATACCTAATCATTATTGAGGCCCCTTGGCAAGTTGAGGCCCAAGGCAGTTGCCTGGCCCAACTCCCCCCAAGGACGCCACTGTTTATAACTATCCAAGTGTGGTCTGGTCTGAACTGGTCTGATCTGGTCCGGTCTGGTCTGGGACGGATTACAATCCAAGTAAAAAACATCCTAAATCAACGATTTCCCCCGCCAAATTAAAAATTGAATCTCAGAGAGTACCTCATATTTTGTAACCTAGAGGTCGTTTGGCAACACTGTTTTTCGGCTTATCAGCCAACCTTTTCACCAAACAGGTAATTTTTGCTTTCGTGCGCTAAATTCTGTAATAAGCAGAAAAGTAAGATTGGAGTTACTTTTCTGGCTGTATTGGCTGTTGAAGTTACTATAGATGACCATTTTACCTATTTTTACATATAATTTTTTCTTGATTTTATTAATAAAATATATTTTGAAAATAATTTTTTCTTAAATCAGCAGAATCAGCCGATAAAGTTACTTCAGCCAGAACTTCATAAATTTCAGCAGAATCAGCCAAAACAGCCGATTTTGGTGTTACCAAACGACCTCCTAATGCACTACACACATATAATGCACTACACTACCTCATATTTTATAATGCATCACCCTATTGCTATATATGTAGCGCTAGTATGTATGTCATCTAAAATATTTAGGGGTGTTAGAAATTGATGCTGCTTCTTTTTTAAAGTAGAAGCAGAATCAGAATCAGTTTTCAGAAGCAGGTCTCTCCCTGGTTCTAAAAAACCGATTCTAGGAGTAAATTAGAGCACCAGAATCACTTCCGCACTTTTTCCAAACACTCAAACTTCTGTTTCTGCTGCTTGAGGGAGCAGAAGCAATTTTAAAATCAGATCCAAACACCCCAAATTAATACGCCATATATATGTATCCGTTTCTAGCCTGTTCTTAATTAGTTAGCATCTAACTTAGCCACTAATTAAGGACTAATAAAGAAGCCATGTAAACTATTTCTAGTAGTAAGGTCAGGAGTTGGACCATCTCACTTTTATTTTTTATAAAAGCTCATTTTTCCTTTTCAAATTGTCCCTAAAAAAGTCAAATTTCCCTGTTTAATCAAAATAGTGCAAAATAGTACTCTGTATCAAATAGTATTAGTTAAACAGTGTCCAAATAGTGTCACTTTTTTATATTGTGAGTAAAAATAAGGAATACCTCGAAGGGACAGAGGGAGTATATGAATAATATCTTTACTTTTTAATAAATCCATCACTTTATCTTCCATATTCATAATGTATCACAACAAACAATTATAAGCTCATATAACGCATATATACAAGCTAAGTATAAATATAAAAAATATTCAAAATGAAATTAAAGTGTCCACTTTACTTACTGCCTAGCTATTATAAATATGTCCTAATGTAACATATGTCGATCACTCGTGTACTTCCTTTTATCACCTTCCTCATCTTCTTGTTTTGACTTCCTATCTTCAATTCATTTTCTTCATCGTTATTAATCTTAATTTTCACCAGCCATGTCGAAACTCTACATCTTTATTATCCTTACTATATTCACCCCAACTTTATTATTAATATCAGTCAAATTAAATTCTTCATCAGTCAAAGAATTCCTTGAATACAATATTTATCAGCAGCACTCTAATGAGGTCAACATTGTGCTGCTAGGCGGCAAGGGGTTACCAAAAAAAGGCACTGTGGAGTACAACTCCGCCGCCTGGACAGCTGTTGAGCAATACGGCCGCCGCCACCTCTCCACCGCACATCATTCACCTGCACTGACATTTGCTGCGGCGGGCGATGTCAACACCAAGATACGAAGTTTGGGAAAGTACGTACATACAACTTTAAAATATACGTAGTATTATGGCTGCATGCATGCTAGATATACATAATTTCTATCTACACGGTTTGTAGTATTATCACATAAACGTGTGGAGTACTATGTACTCCCTCCGTCCCGCAAGATGTTCCCGTTCACTATTCATTGGTCAACTTAGGTCACTTCTAATCTTTTACTTTATATATCAATTTTTTATCAAATTGAAATTTTTTTGATCAGACTTTGTAGCGGTTTTAATGTAGTTTCTGAATATGTTAATTTTATTTACTAAAAACAATCTGAGTGTGAACAGGGATCGAGTTGCTTTATCGTCAGTCAAGCATCGTAAACCGAACGGGAACATCTTTGCGGGACGGAGGGAGTATGTGTATATATATATACATACAGAGTCCCATTCCTATCAGGAGCTCCTGAAGAGAAGCTCCGTGCGGACAAGACCATCAGAGGGTCTTCCCGGTGGAATTTTTTGATCAAATTTTTTGAGCATGTTCCTCATCAAGTCTAGTTTGTCCATACCAAATTTCAGCTCAAAATTCCATCGGGAAGGCAGTCAAATAAATCCTGGAAACATACTGCACATTATATGTGCGCGGAATGCACCATATTTTTCCAGGATTTATTTGACTGCCTTCCCGATGGAATTTTGAGCTGAAATTTGGTATGGACAAACTAGACTTGATGAGGAACATGATCAAAACATTTCATCAAAAAATTCCACCGGGAAGACCCTCTGATGGTCTTGTCCGCTCGGGGGTTCTCATCAGGAACTCCTGATGTGAACTGCCCTCTATACATACAATATGTGTGTATATATATATATATGTATATATATATATATATATATATTGAAATGTTAATTTATAGGGAAAAGGGTCAGATAAGCACCCGAACTTACATAAAAAGGTCAAATAAGCCCTTATATAAGAGACTCTATCCGGCCATCGTCATTTGGGGAGGTTCCCGGTGGAATTTTTTGATGAACTTTTTGGATCATCTTATTCATTATGTCTAGTTTACTCATACCAAATTTCAGATAAAACTTTAATTGGGAAGGCATTCAAATGAATTCTTGAAGATAACTGCGCAGTTAAAAACACAGTTATCTTCAAGAATTCATTTAGATGCCTTCCCGATTGAATTTTTATTTGAAATTTGGTATGAGTAAACTAGACTTAATGAATAAGATGCTCAAAATATTTCATCAAAAAATTCTACCGGGAACTGCCCCAAATGGCGATGGCCGGACATAGCCTCCTATATTAAGGCTTATTTGACATTTTATGTAAGATCGAGGGCCTATTTGACCCTTTTCCCTAATTTATACGCATTACTTCATATATTCTTTTTTTATTGCAACAATCTACTTTTTACGTTTGTCAACACACACGTTTGACCATCAATATCTTTAATTCCTTATTAGTATAAAAAATAAAAAATTAGATTTTGAAAATTTAAAATGAGAGAAATTTAACAATAATATATGTTTAAAATTTAATTTATAAGCCATTAATAAATAAAATAGGGTCAAAATAGAACATGTGAATAGTGCAAAAAGTCCAAGTGTTGCATTTAAAAAAGAATGGAGGTAGTATATTATATTATGCTCCCTCCGTTCATCAATACTTGTCCCCTTAGGCTTTGGCATGTGTTTTAAGAGGAAAATAATAGGGGTATTTAATGTAAAAGGTGTCGTGGGTTATGTTTAAATAAAAAAAAGTAAGATAGAAAATGAAAAAGTGTGAAAAAGAAAGAACGAGTGTATGTATATATTTATTGAAAAGAAAGACAACTACTTCATTTAAGAACAACTCAAATTAAAATGGAATAACAAAGGAACAGATGAAGTAGATTTTTACGGAGTATTATATCATCAGTCTTGATTTTTTAAAGGAAAATCAAACTATAAACTTAATTGTACGTTGAATTAATTGGAGTACTCAGTACTGTAAATAGAAGCCCACACATTCTCCGAATTGAAGATCATATAGGATATAGCCATCTTATTAAATACTCCCTCCGTCCCATTTATATTGTCTCGTTTTACCTTTTCGGGAAGTCTCACTTATATTGTCTCATATCATATTTGACAAAGTTTGTGTGGCTCTAAACCATTCTTACTTTATTTATTCTTACTTTATTAATTAATATCAACCACACAAACCTACTTTTCTTAATAACCGTGTCACCCTCTTCCGGGACAATATAAATGGGACGGAGGGAGTAGAGTGTAATTTTGTTCAAAGTACATGATAGTGTCCTTTTCTCCCTTAATTATTTTAATATATTAAAAGTACATGATAGTATCCTTTTCTCCCTTTGCATTGGGGGTGTTTGGAAATTGGTTGTTGGCTGTTAGTTGTTGGTCGGTTGTGTTAGCTGTTTGTTGACAACAGATTCTGTTAGCTGTTTTAGTTAGCTGATGAGATTAGCAGTTTGTAAAATAATGTTTGGTTAAATTGCTGTTTACAATCAGCTGATAACTTGTAAAATGACTTTTAAGGACATGAATTAATTTTTTATTAATGTAATTAGCACAACTACGTAAACCGTTTTTATGAGTTAAAAATAATAAAATGTATTAACACAAATAATAATTATTAACATCTTTTACGAATTAATAAATTGAATTAGTATTTTTAATTTGTTAAATTAGTGTTTAATTTGTTAAACACTATTGTCACTAGTCTTTAATTTTTGTTTTGAGGTCAGTAGTCTTTCGTTTCTTAAGTCGCCAAAGGTTTATGTTTGCGTTATTGTTTATTAAAATGATTTTCTCGGAGCAAAAATTCTTACTACGTATATAAATGTGAAGTAAATAAAAGTCAAATGGTCCACTACTGTTATGGCCTACGATGTGATTATTAATCTATCAACAAGTGTGATCTTGATTGTTACAGGCTTACAGCAGATGAGAGGTAGTTTATCTCGAAAAAAAATCAATAGCTAGTTAGGATAGAATTGGAAAACAAGATCATAATGGAAAAAGCCATGCCCAAAACGTTAAAGATAGTGGCGTTTAGTATATTAGCTGTTTGGAACAAAAAGCTAAATAGAAAAGCTATTTAACCAAACACCTAATTAGCTGATTGAGATGGTCAAAACGCCAAAAATAAGTCAAATCAGCCAAAAAATGTCTGATAGGCTACTAACCAAACACCCCATTGTATCCATGCTCTTTGATATATACATATACGGAATGTAGTTTGTTTTAGAAATGAGTAAATGACATCTAGGATGTAGGGTCACTTTAATTTTTAGCCACCCCTTCCTAATTTCTTACTCCGTACGGCAAATCTTATCTTATGCAGTAGTCTCTCCTCCATCTCAAAGTAATTTTCTTATTTGTTGAATTGTTGTTTTAGCACAAATTTTAAGAATTTGATTTAAAAGGTAAAAATTGTAATTGAGATTGACTTTTTATAATTAGAAAAACAAAATGAATTGATATGATCGAGCCAAATATTATTACTAAAAGAGGAAATAAAATAATTTTTTTGGGACATTCCAAAAAAGAAAATAAGGCAATTATTTCGGAACAGAGGGAATATACTATAGTTGTTTTGGGGTAGATTTCTTGCCCAAAGGAAAATGACACAAATAATTTCATATAACCCCAAAAAGAAACTGGGATAATTATTACTCTTATGATAAATATAAATTTCTGTGTGGCCACATCATGAATAATTTGATGTGTTTTTATACATGTCCAGTTTGCATTTTGCCCAAATAAGTGTCGGGACTCCTCCAGATTCTTTTATGGTGGCGATTGACACTGGCAGCGATATATCTTGGTTGCCTTGTGGATGCAAGAACTGTCCTGCCTACTTTCTAACGGATAATGAAGACGTAAGTAAAAGTTCTAGCTTGCTATTTATAATTAATCTATTGTAATATTATGATTATCTTGATTAATTATTAGGAAATTCCTAAAATCATTTTGGAATTTCAAAATAAGACTACTAAGTTTTCCTTCTTGAAATAGGAGTAGTTACTATAAAAAATATTATCATTAATTATAATAAATATTGCTATTAAAAATGTATTTTACTGCAACTATTTTGCAGTCACGCCTACAAGATGACAGTAAATACTGCCGTGTTAGAATGTTTTTACTTGGACTGTAATTTGTCTCAGACCAGATTAGACCATACCAAACTAGACTAGACCAGACCAAACTTTGATAGTTATAAAAATACAAATAGACCAAACATTACCAGACTAGACCAGACTAGGTCAGACCAGACCAGACCAGCAAATTACAGTCCAAGCAAAAACACCTTTAGTCCCATTTCGGGAATAAAAACATAGTAGTTCTGTTTTGGAATTTCAAAACTCCTATTACTCCTTTGTTGGGAAATCTTCCTTAATTATACTTAGTATCTTGTTCAATATAGAAGTAAAAAAAAATTACGAAACAGAACTGTTATATTTTTATTTTCTAAATAGGAGTAATCACCGTTATGTTTAGATAGTCTGGAATTAGCAAATATATGCTTTTACTCCTATTTCGAGAAGACGAGAACTTCTACTATTCCAATCTAGTAATGTATTGTATCTTCTTTTCCCCGCGGCCATAAAATGAAACAGGTAAAATTTCTCAATTCCTACGATCCCAAAAATTCATCCACAAGTGCAATAATCTCTTGCGAGAGCCCGGAGTGCTGGCCAAAGAATCAATGTCCAGCCCAGTCCCGCAAGGCATGCCCCTACGAAGTAACTTACGGGTCAAGCAACACTACTTCGACTAAGGGCATCCTTGTTAAGGATGTCTTGCACTTAGAAACCTATGACCACAAACGCCAGCCTCGTACTGCGCCAATTATATTCGGGTGAGTATCCATTTTAATTTATTTTAATTTGAATTAAAATTTTAATTACATATTGTCCTTCTCGCTCTTTTCTTGTTAATTCATATTAAGAAAATTCACTCATTCGAATTTTATTTATATTACGTATTTGCTTAGATTGAAGTTTTAACAATACTCTAATAGTAATATAAGTTGCTAACAGATCAACTTTTAAAGCAACATTTACCTATATATAGCAAATTAATGATAGTTGATAAAAACTTACTAACAATGCCCATTTCAAAGCTCCCATATACACTTTGATATGACTCCAGTCAATTTAACTTTATATTTATTTTTTTTTTCATATTTTTCGTAATAATAAATTTTAATCATTTCCGACCATTTTTTGTGACTTGGTAGATCTTATAGCTTAGATTTGAAACACGTAGTATAAAATAATACTAGTATATATTTTATTTTGAAAATAATTGCTTTATCATTAGTCAATATTCGTAAATCTCAGAATCAAACAAAAACTTGATATGATCGAGATGAATGGAGTAATTTTTATGCCCTCTTTACTATAATTGTAACTGTAATGACTATCATATGCATGACCAATTTCGCAAAGTAGTCATCATGAGTGTATGCTACTATCAAATGTGGCCACATTTTATTATAATTTAAGAATATTTTTAATTGGATTGAAATTTTACGGTATGCATGCTCTGGTCTGATCAAGTCTAATTTAATTTGGTACTCCGTATAGTCTAATCTGACCTATTTTAACTTTCTCTATTCAAATTGTGCATATATAAATAGCGTTGTAATGAAAATTAATAATTAATATGGTTATAGGAAATATCGCCTTCAAAATTGTTATAATTTTCGGTTTATTCTATATAATTTAGGTGTGGAATGATTGAGACCGGCGAGAATTTGGAGGAAGGCGCAATCAATGGTTTGCTAGGGCTGGGATTTAACACACCTTTGGATGTGCCTGGCAGGTTAGCATCCAAAGGCTTAGTACCCAACTCTTTCTCCTTATGCTTTGGCCTTGATGGCAAAGGTAGGCTAGCATTTGGAGACAAGGGTAGCAGTGATCAGATGAAAACACCAATAGAGCAGGGCAGGTAATTAATAAAGTTATCAGTTTTTATGCATTGTTTGTGATTAGTGAAGGATCAATATAAACACCAATATTGTTTTTTTGCTGGCACTTATGCAGCCCTGGTTATTACATAAGGATAGAGCGCATTGGTGTGGACAAAATTGGAACCAATGTTGACTTTGTAGCCCTGGTTGATTCTGGCACCTCTATTACACAGCTGAATCATGAGGAATATACCATTTTAACAAAGAATGTGAGTCAATTAGACAATTCAATTAATTTCCAAGAAATAAATAACATACAATCTCCATCCCTAAATTATCGGGGTTTAGCAAATGAATTAAAAAGTGAGAATTATGTGATGACACCGTTTTTTAGGCAAGTGATTAAATAACGTAATTTGGGTAAAAGGAGCGGAAAGAATAAACTTAGAAAAAATAAAAATAAAAAGTGAAATTAAGATAAATTAATGTGAGACTTGACATGTATTGAGTAGGGAAAAAAATTGAGTAAATGTATAATTGAAGAGAATAAATTACCTCTTAAAATGGAATTAAGACCTTTAAATGAGACCTAAGGAGTAGTTGAAAGATAATTCAAGTACGAATACATACAGTAAAAGTTGATGTCAATTATGACACTAGTTCGGTTTCAACTTTCAAGAACACAATAATTTATTGGGAATTTATCGTTGACCTCTCTCGAGGTTTCGTGTATTATCACTTAAACTCCTGTACTTTTAGAAATATACGCTTACCACCTCCCTATCCATTAATGAAAGATTAATAAATCTTAATTACTTTTAGTAAAAGTATAAATTTAGTTTTATAAATTTACTTACTTGCAAATTTAATATGATAATTGATAAATTTAATTGTAATAAAAATCTTTCCACCAGAAAGTATTTTTTTGCAGGAACGCGTACTTTCCGATAAAATAGCCCTTATTATTGACAAATTTATTATGTACATAACTACATCTACATGTGAGTAAAATTATTGGACTAGTAGCAGACACAATCAAAGAGTACGAATTTAAAACAATAAATCTCTATTACTTTTAAAAGTTTGACAATATATTTGAGATTGTAGAAATCTTGGTGAAACTTTTCTAATGAGAAAAAGATGCCCAATAATGAGGAATGTTGTTTTATACCTAAAACAGATGTTGGTGAAGGTCTTTTAGGAGACTATTGTTACCTATCGTAAATTGGTATGAAAAATACCTACTTTTATGCTTCATATTAGGGGAGGACAAGGCATAGTCTCGGAAACGGCTGGTTTTTAAATTAAGAATTTAGGTCAGGACCGAAATCAAGAGGCCTCAGACCTCACTTTTTGGGACCGGGATTGGAGCCCATGATTTGACCTCATACATTTTTTCATTAAAACCATTGAGAACATTTTAAAATGGGTTATAGCCCATTTAAAAGTTGAAAAATAGGTAGTTAAAATATTTGAATCATCGAGAGCGAACCTAGACTAATTAGGATATTGGAACCAAATATAAGGTCATGGGCCACCCTAATTAATTAGCACTAACCAGCTTGGGTGTGGAACTCGTCCTAAACTCATTATTTTACATGTAAACATGTTCATATTTTTTCAAATATCAATTTACAAGTTATTATTATACCTATAATAATGATCTCATTTCCAGTGTTAGAAAGAGTGTATAGAATTTGTGCAAATTAAGAATTTTCTTGCATTCAATTTTGAATGGTAAAATCGAGTAGTAAACTTCACATTTGAGTCGGTTTGGTTCATTAAGTTGATTTGTTTCTATTTTTGACAAATTTAGCATATTTTGATCATTTTTAATTGAGTAAATTTACTCACTTTACAAATTCAAAAGCATAAAACGAACTACGTAAAGTGAGGTCAGTTTTGGTCAATTTTTAATTTGTTTGACTTTTGATAAATAGGTCTTTAGTATTGACAAATTTATTAATTACCCGATCAGATTTGCGATTGAATAAATCTACAGTATTAAAAGCCAACATAATGAAAAATTATGAAAGTATATCCATAATTTTCTATAAATATAGATTAAGAGTAATTTAACTATCACTAAAGGGGTGTGATTGATAATGAATCAAACCTCAAGAGAGGTCAGTGATAATTTCCCTAATTTCTTTATACTTGAAAAAATCAGATAGTATCCTTATTTAGTAAATTTCCTTGATATATATTCCGTATGTTTGGAACTGCCTCTGTAGTTCGATTCTCTAGTGAAGGACACACGTGTGGCTCTCACAGATCAACCTCGTTTTCAGTACTGCTATACTCCAAGGTGAGTTCAAGCTGGATAAATGTGGTACTCTGCATTTAGTTTATTTACGTTCAAACAATCGAAGATTTTGTGTATATTTATATCACTCTGGTCTTATATTGGTTGTTTTGTTTTAATTTAGCAAAATTATTAATAAACTGATTGAAAAGTAAAATTAGAGTTATGATCAGGTTTGATTAGAATAAAATAAAATAATATGAATCACATATTTCTTGTAAAATAAATATGGCATTTATTTTGAAACAATCTAAAAAGGAAAATAAAACAACAAAAACTACTCATTGTATGTTAGTGATTTTAATTCTTCGCATTGCAGCACAAATCACACCACACATCGGACTCCTTCTTTGACCCTAAAGATGAAAGGAGGAGCCTATTTCGATGTTATAACCCCCATTGTCATAACGACTCTTCCGGTAAGCTGGTTTAATCTGTACCCCATTTTTTCTATCAATTGTTTTTATTTGAGTACTAACAATTCCTTTTTTAAAATCCCTTCAGATGGGTGAACCAGTTTACTGTTTAGGCATTGTTGAAAATCAGAATATTGATGTCAACGTTATAGGGCGTAAGTTACTTCCAATTTACTATTGTAATTTTAAGCTTGATACATGCACAAACATAACACCACAATTGATGCATATATAATTAATTAAATCTTTATAACTGTTAGCTACTATTGTCATGGAATAATATACCATGATATAAATTTGTGTCAAGAAGTTACAATTTTGTGCTAATGCCTTAAAAAACTCTTTATTTTGTTCAGAGAATTTTATGACGGGCTACCGTCTTGTATTTGATCGTGAAAAGTCAATTTTTGGATGGAAGCAATCAAACTGTAAGTTATCATCATTTCTCCAAAATCCTTTGTCACACTGTCGGTCTCTACATACATATACATATATATATATATATATATATATATATATATATATATATATATATATATATATATATATATATATGTTGAGTTTAATCCAACACGATATAGTAAATATATGTATAAATGTGTATGAACAAGCTATTTTTACGTGGAAACCCGAAAGGGAGAAAACCACGGGACTTTTTAGGCTAATGTCCAAGCCCTCTCTTTCTCATTAGAACTCTCCTCACCATTACACAGTACAATTTGAGCTCCCATTAATGGAGTATTGTAAGCTAGCTAGAGAGAAGGGAGAAGAACAAGCTAAGGAAAAGGGGATCCCTAATATGGAGGGAGACTCCCTTATTTATAGAGAATAGGGGAAGGGGATGCTCTCCACCCTAATGGGCCGCATGGGCCGGAGTGGGCCCAAATGGCTAAAGTGGGCCGGATGGGCCGAAATGGGCCTAGCTGCTCGGGCTCCGTAGTGAGTAATGTCTTGGGCTCCTAAACAGTAATAGGCCGGGATAATATATCCCAACAATATATATATATATATATATATATATATATATATATATATATATATATATAAAACAAGTTTGTGATTCGATCATATTCCATGCTTAGTACGAATTAGCCATTTAGCCTATAATCAAATTAAGGACCCGTTGAATAATTGATTTTTTAGTTATCAACTCGGCGTGTAACTCGAGTCTTGGACAATTTCTTAAATTCTCAGGTATAGCAAAAGAAGCGAACACTATTGCCACAAGCGAAGCATCTTCAGCAACAATGGGCGGCATAGTCGTGATTCTTTTAGTTTCTTTTTCTGTTACACATATATAATGTAATTATGATTTTATTTCTATAACCTAATAGGGCAGAACTTGGATGTACAAAATCTTTCCAGCTAGAGAATTCACAAATTCTTTATGTATATATGTGGCAGAAATGGTTAAATAAATAATGAATATTAGCTTTATTCCATAGCAATTTGTTGATCCAAACCCTTCAATTCCTTGACAAATACGAAGTATAATAGTAGTATCTACGTACGTTACTATCTAGTTATCGTCCTAATTAATCTAGTTGAGTTATTCTTTTTCATTTAAACTTTGTTTTTCGAATTTAAACCATTTACCTAAAATTCCTCGCTTGAAATTGTCCAAATTAGGAAAAAGTAATCATCAAAACTGTTCCCCATGCTCCGAATTAACTAAACTTTTGTTTAAAAATGAATGAACTCTAATTTTCTTTTTGTGTTGACAAACTTGGACTTTTTTTTCGCACTCATCCGCTGTCTATTAGAAAATTTCATAATGTGCCATTTTGGGCTCTAGCTAAAGCATTATTTTCATGCACAAACTTCTTCTACATTGAACTGTTTGAAAATGTCGATCCACTCAACAGACTTCACATTTATTTTCAGAGACTAAGAAATTTGCAATGTCGTAGCTCAATTTCTAAGCGAGCAACAGGAGAGAGTAAGAAGTGGAGAACTGGAGGTAGCATATATCAAGACATTTAGTTTATGGGTGGAGCTTTAAGAATGATGGTTAAAAGAATAAATAAACTTTAATTTTCAACATAAACTTGAAATTTTGGAGCTCATAAACTGTCCCAAATTTTGAAATAAATGTTCTACTTTTTTATCAAATAAATAGAGATGCTTGCACATACAGTTATACTCCTATTGTTCTTTATAATTTGATTACATTTTCTTCGAGAATGAACTATTGAAACTTTGGGAAGTGTATTTTGAAATAAAATAAAGCTAAGGCATTAAAGTATTTTTATACTCCTACAAAGGGTACAAGCATTTTTATCTACAGACTAAAAATCTTGTGCTACGTCAATGACAAATCAAGCTATTAAGACAAAGCTAATCAAGTAACATGGATATATGGTCACATTATTTGATTAAAACTAAACATAACAGATTATATACTACGATTTCATTTCATTTCACAAAGCAATACTCCGTATGTTATTATCTCAACATTGCCTTATGAATAATACCCCTCCAACAAATATACGTATTTGTCCAGTTTATTTAGGAGAATGAAAAACAATTTTAAAATGAAACGATATATTTTAATTTAAAGATCCAAATTAAATCGAAGAAAAAAACATGTGGAAGTTTTCGCTCGAGATAAATCAATCAACCGTACAACAACATTGAAATGGTCCATTCTCAATTGAAATGCAAATCCCAGAAGGTTTTCCCTTCTGCTTCTGACAATTGACAACGCACTCCGCATCCGTGCTACAACGGGGTTTGGTAGGATGGATACAATTCCATGGATTATTAGGGTTGTAAAGGGCATTTCCTTGAGCATTGACAATTGAACCTTTCAATAAAACATCAATTAAAGAGAGAGAGAAATTAGACTTCTCAAAATAGGAGTAAAACTAAGATATTTTCCACTTTCCTTCCCCCAACTATTGTATCAGTGATACTTTTGGTACTCGACTTTCCATTTTTCTAATTTTAGTCTTTGACTATTGTGCGAGAGACACTTTTAGTCACTTCAAAAAATTCCACATTTAGTCCTCTGAGTATTATCAAATTGACACTAGCTTTTAGTCCTTCCACTATAACTTTGACACAATAAATGGATCACTAAAAATGACACTATTATAATAGTTGAAGAACCAAAAGTGTTATTTTTATGAAAGTCGAATGAAAAAATATGGAAATTTTCAAATATGAGTACCAAATGTGTCTTTCGCATAGTAGTCGAAGGACTAAAGTGAGAAAAAATCAAAGGCGAGCACTATAAATGTCAGTGACATAATAATTGCAGATGAACTAAACGTGGCAAAAACTTGTAAAAGTAATGTAAAAATCTAAAATACAAGTAGAATGTTTTTTGAATTGCCGGTATGAGTAATTATCAATGCTAAAATAATAACACTGTGTAGACGTTATTAGACATCAAAATAACAGTAATAATGACATAACTAGCATCATTTCCCCTCCGTAACAATAATCACTCTTATTTTGAGGAAATCATACATTTTCAAATTTCATATTATTTATATATATTCTTCTTTTCGAGAATATAAGATCGAATATTAATTAGGATAGAGTAATCATACGAACAATATTAATATACAGTACCAGATAATAGATTTATCATCACCAAGGCAAAGCATAGAGTCACCATAAAAATGGATCTGTTGGAACCTGAACTTCGACTAAACCCACTCATATTTCACTCCCCTTGTTTTCTTTATCGCCTGAAATTATTCTTGATGTCTCTAGCTTGATATTATGTTATTGTATATATACACATTATGTATTACACAAGATGCAATGACATTACTTTTGTAGATGATCATATATTTATTGGTTTGCATAATTTATTAATTTTGTTTCCTTTTATTACGATTTAGAGTATAATATCATTCCTAAATCAAATCCATTTATTTGGAATATGATCTTATTCCTGAAATGTGTTAATGTGCCAGATATGCGTGTAGGTAAATGAGGAATGATGCACTCCAAAAATAAAACCGTAGAGTTTGAGATTAATTGTACTCCATAGTAGTCATGCTACTTGTGCCGTTGTGTGTTGCATGCATCGTGTTTAATTTATAAATAAATAAACAACTCAATATAATTAATAATTCAAAAAATAACTTAGGATGTTTTCTTCTGAAATTTGCTGGTTTGGTCTGGTCTGATCTGGTCTGCATGGTCTGATCTGGTCTGGTCTGGTAAACGTCTGGTCTCTGTGTATTTTATAACTACGGAAGTCAAGTCTGGTCTAGTCTGGTCTGATCTAGTCTGGTCTGGTCTAATCTGGTCTGGTCTGGGACTGAAAACAGTCCAAAAAAAACATCCTTAATCATCACTAACCGTTATCCCTATATCGAAAATAAAATAAACCTATATTATTAAATAATTCAGTGATCTTATTTAAGGATTAAATAGATTTTAAAGGTAAAAAATTATGTTTTAAATTAAAGATCAAAATATCAGTTGACATAATACTTACGACTTAGGAGGGAAGTATATTACCAATTGTAGTGATGCAGTATAGGTTCTTCTATATTAATAGAAGCAATTATTATTATTATTATTATTATTATGATTATTATTATTATGATACTTCTAAGTGTTTCACATTGCTCTTAGAAGCAATTTTTTATCTCAATTTACTCCTTTAGGATGTTGTGTTAGTTGCATTTTTATTTTACTTGTGCCAGACTCTGGATTTTGGATCAGGTGATGGAAAGTCTATTTTGACCGTCTTTGACTCAGTTATGTTCATTCTGGGATCGTCGAGTCATATTAATTGCTTTTTGTGAGGTGATTGTCTCTGACTCTTGTTCGGGAGCTAGCGGTTGGGAGAAGATTTTTTTGTTGTTTTATTATTTGTCCAAGTTATAAAAGTCACTTTGTTAGGTCCCTGTTTTCTAGTCTAGAATGTGTATGTATGGAAGATAGATCTATGATTTGAAGCTTTCCATTGATGGTGAAGGTTTTACAGAATGATATGAAAGTTAGCGTAAAAACCTTACACGCAAATAGGCACTGCGGCACAGAGAATGTATTGAAAAGCTTAACCTAGCCTTTCCCTTAAGGCATATATATAGCCTGACGGGAAAGGTAGGTTTTACAATCATTTGGGCTCCTTTTTCTAGGAGGCCCATACCTAAAAAGGCATGAAAGCCTTTATTACAAATTGCCTTAAAAGGCCTATTCATTATTCTAGCTAGTCTATTTATTTATTTCAACTAACTACAAAAGCATAAGTAACATTGATCACAATACAATGATAATATCTCTAACAATCTCCCCCTTTGTGATCAGATGTTCTTGCTTCTTCTGTTCTTCACTTCTGAGCTTTAAAATAATGCTTTCTGAGATTGAGTGCATGCTCGTAGTTTCTGAGTGACCTTCTATCATCAATTTGCTTGTTGATGGCCTTCAGAATTTCATCAACTCTTTCCAGTTCTTTGATTTCTTTCTTTGTAGCTTCTGTTGACTTCTTGACAAGTTCTTCTCTCTTTGATTTCAGCCTATTTCTGATGATCTTCAGTGTTCCGTCGCAGTATTTGTTTATTTCCTTGACAATCAAAATGCGCTTCTTTCCTTCATGGTTCAGATAGATGACTGAGACTGGGTCGTCAAAGATATGATCTTCTGGGAAGTCTTCTATCCCTGGTCTGTCAAGGTCTGGCTTTGTAAGATTTACTTTGGGATAATTACTTTCCAGACCCATCTGAAGATCATGACCTCCATGGTATCGGATTTGTCTCATCATGAATCTTTTTATGGCTTTAAAACCTTCCTTTGCAAGTCTATCTTTATGGACTGGTAGCTCTCTGCATCTCATAAACATTTGATAGACGTCGTCCATATGTAGCAGAAAGAAATCATTTTCTTGACAAGTGAATGTTGATCCATCAGTTCTTTGTAGATGAAAGACCATGAATTTGATCTTCTCCAAGTATTCTTCTGTTACTTTCAGGATAGTTTGCACTGGACATCCGCTTGTTGCAAGATTATGATTCAAAATCTGTCGTCGTTCTCCCGTGGATCTGTGTCCGAGCATGTACAAGTTTCCTCCTCTGTCTCTTCCTTTGAGGTGATTGATGCCACGCATCCTGAGTTCTCTGTAGGTCTTTATCTTCTCAGGTGTGCGCCAAATTCGCTCTCTGATTTCTTCCAGGAAGGGGTTCTTGATCCTGACACTATCTACAGGTTTCGGAGTAGCCTTTTGCTTAGTGATAGATTCAGGCTCCTTGTGTTTTTCTCCTTCTTTTATCTCATCATTGTCGAGCCCAATCATCTGTGCATGATATTTATTGAGAAACTCTCTGAGCTGCCAACTTCGACACATTTCGTACTGCTCTGCCTCCACTCTAAGATCATCCCATTCTGTCCACTGGCGGGGCCATTTGTCATAAACGAGAATTTCTTCAAGTTCATCTGATGTCTAATCATCGTGTTGGCTGGA